AGAAAAAAAATTAAAAATTAACTGGGCATGATGGTGCATACCTGTGGTCTCTGCTACTTGGGAGGCCGAGATGGGAGGACTGCTTGAACCCAAGGAGTCGAGGCTGCAGTGAGCAGTGATGATGCCATTGCACTCCAGCCTGGGTGACAGAGTGAGAACCTGTCTCAAGAAGAAAAAAAAGAAAACCCCCCAGAATACTTCTCCATTTTGGGCTGGCTCCTTGGTTACTCCTTTTATTTTATTCTATAGACCTCAGGGACTGGTCTTCTTGTTTCTCTTAATCCTTCAAGTTCTTCTTTTGTTCCTGGTAATTTGGATTCAGATATGTAATATCCTGATATGAAGCAAGAAAAGCCTTTGTAAGGGTTTTCAGGAATAACTGGAAACAGACTATGGTGAGAGTAAAAAGAGTCATATCCACCTTGATATGCCCTTTTCTTCACAGAGTCCCATAGGAACAAGGGCCATTCATAGAGAACTGATAAAAGGATCGGATGCATGAATGACCCAAATAAGATTTACCAGAGTAAACCCAGCAGATCCAGTGTTAACTGTTGGAGGCATTTTTATTTTTATTTTTTTTTTTTTTTAGATGGAGTTTCACTCTTGTCCCTCAGGCTGGAGTGCAATGGCATGATCTTGGCTCACTGCAACCTCCGCCTCCCAGGTTCAAGCGATTCTCCTGTCTCAGACTCCCAAGTAGCTGGGATTACAGGCACACACCACCACGAACGGCTAATTTTTGTATTTTTTGAGGCATTTCTTTAAGAAGCCGTGGCAGGACGTAGAAGTGAGATAGGAGCAGAGGAAACAGGAATGGAATGGGGGCGGGCAATGGACAACACCAGGACTATGTCTGGGGAAAGAGCTGCAGCCCCAGTGTCAGGGAAGGGACAGGTTGGGAGACGAAGCCTTGGAGCTTTCCCTTCTGGCTTTCGGTGCCTGTGCCCTGTCCTTGGCTGGTCAGCACTACTCGAGTCCCGGGAGTATGCTGAGAAGTTGGGGCTGGAAATGGGAGGTGGAGGACCAGGATCTGTAGCATCGAGAGAAGAAAGAGGAAAATCTCTGGTGGGTGAAAAGGAAACATCTGAAGCCATACAGCCTCCCCATTCCTGTTAACGGTTTAAGGGTGGATGACTGTAACTTGATGATGATGGAAACTGGGACTTCCGGCTGGGCGTGCTCAAGTCTATAATTCCAACACTTTGGGAGGCTGAGGCGGGTGGATTGCTTGAGCTCAGGAGTTCAAGACCAGCCTGGGCAACATGACGAAATCACGTCAGAAAGAAGGAGGGAGGGAGGGAGGGAATGAAAGAGGGGAGGAAGCGGGGAGTGAAAAGAAAAGAAAGGAAAGGACAAGAAAAAAGAAAAGAGGAAAAAAAGAAAGAAACTGGGACTTCTGCTTGCTTTAGTCTTTGTTTCTGAAATATGAACAGAAAACTCTGAAAAACACAGATTAGCTTTTAGGAAACAATAACCTTTTCTTTATGATTTACCCATAGCAAGAGTCCCCAGCTAATTCCCTAGTGGCCTCTAGGGTGGGTGCCATCCACGTACCCTCCCCAACACCCCCTGCCAGATACAGGCTCAGTCAGCACCTCTAGGCACTTCTCCCTATGAACACAGGCACCCAGTCCACACCCCTCTCCACCAATGATCACAGAGCCTGAAATAAATGGAGAAGTCACCCTCATGAAAGTTTGGGGTCTAGGATCTGCATGTGGAGTGAGAACTATGTGAATTATTCTTTTTGAATGTAATTTGAAAATAATAAACAATAAAATGTAGCACCTATCTCACATGGTAACGGAATAAAACGACTTATTGGTTTACTTCTAAACATCCTGGAAAATAAACCCAAATTTGTTAAAAAGAAAAGTAATATCAATTTAGAATCATGAATACAGTCCAACAAAGAAAAAAAAATTCCTGGTGTGATTTTAAACTGGCAAGTCTAGAAAATACTTCAAACTTGTGAGACCATATAATATATTTATGGAAAATACGGTCATTGTGAAGAATTAGGTTGAATCATATGAAACTTCTGATAGTCTACCATTGTTGACCTACAAAAATGTCAGTTTCACATAGTTTCACCTAATAGGTGGATAGTGGAAGCTTTAATTATTAACTTTTCCCAAAAATATTCCTATAATGTAGAAAATAATCTTAATATATTTCAACTAAATCTGGTTTCAGAATCCAGTAACGATCTTTTACTTTAACTGATTTGAATGATCTCATTAAAAATTAATAAACTTTATGGGAAATTAATCACTTTTTCCACCCTATAAGAACTGGGTACTTACTTTTTTTTACCCAGTTTGAGATGTGGCAGAGAGGAGCAGATTTAAAATTGATTCCAACAAATTAAAACCAAGAAACACTTAGTTTCTGTAGTTCTGAAGTTAAAATTCTATCCAAATTCAGATGATTATACTGAATGTATAAGACAGTAATTAGAGGACATCACTAACGTGATTTAGCTTGAGAATGCACAAGTGCTGAACTCAGTCACTCTCCCACTGACTAGGGGCAGGTGCATATCAGCCATGTGCTTCCAAATTCCACTTCAGGAGCATGCCAGTACCATCTCCATAGAGTTCCCCTAAATTATAAAATTAGGGTTAACTAGAGCCATAAGTTTAACCAAAGGTCTCACTCTCACCCCAAGCACATGGCTCCAGATTCCTCAAAGATGTGGTAATGTCAGAACAAATGATTGCTTCTATTTCATTCATGTATTCACTCGTTCTTCAGATACTTATTAAGTGCTCACCTGCCATGGTGCCGGTACTCTTCTAGGTGCTGTCAGTATAGGGGGAAGGAAGACAAACAAGATCCCTGCTCTTGTGGAGCTAACATTCTAACACTTGGAGATTCAATCATTCAATCAATAAACAAACAAGAAAAACACTAGATAGTAACCAGTGCTATGTAGAGAATTAGAATGGGGAGTTACATTAGATGAAGGGATCTGGGGAGGCTGCTTTGGGGAGGTGACATTTTTGATGGACAGGCTATGGCAGGGAGAGGGAGTAAGAGGAATCCAAAATGAGTCCTAGTTTTAGGGTTTACTTAGTGCTGTCAAAGTGTGGTCCGAGGACCTGTGCCAGCCTGCAAGATGTCACCTCTCTGCCTTGAGATTAGCACAGAAATTAAGAGTAATCATTCAGGGCCAGGCATGGTGGCTCATGCCTGTAATCCCAGCACTTTGGGAAGCTGAGGTGGGTAGATCACTTGAGATCAGGAGTTCGAGATCAGCCTGGCCAACATGGTGAAACCCCGTCTCTACTAGAAATACAAAAGTTAGCTGGGCATGGCAGAGGGTGCACGCCAGCCTGGGCAACAAAACAGAGGGAGACTCTGTCTCAAAAAAAAAAAAAAAAGGGTAACAATTCAGAAAATTTTATAGAAATTTGACAGGGAAGTTTTATATAGTATACAATAATTTTGCATTTCTTTCATTTTGCTAATAATTTGTTTTTATTTTACTTTACAAAAGTGCAGGCTGGAAATTTTTAAAACCTGATTTTCATGGTAGACAGTGTGAGAAACATTGGTTTAATCACTTAACCAAGTGGATGAATAGTGGTGCCATTTCCTGAAATGAGGAAAAGGAGGTTAGGAGTATCTCTGGGGGACAGAAATCAAGCGTATTCTGTTTGAGCCATCCTGTTTGACATGCCCATTAGACATCATAATGTAGAATAGTAGTATATGACTCTGGAATTCTGGGAAAGAAACCAGGCTTGGAGATATGGATTTAGGAGTCATGAGCAGAAAGTATGTGAAGCTTGGACATTGGATGAGGTCACCTAGAGCAGAGATGGAGCCAGCACAGGAGACTGGTGCGGCGAGAGAAAGAGAAGGAAAGACCAGTATGGTGTGTCACGGAAGAAAATGTTTCAAAAGGAAAAAGTAGTCATCTGTGTCTAATGCTGCTTAGATCAAGTAAGGTAAGAATAGATAAATGACAATTAGATGTGGCATATTTGAAGAAATCTCAGAGGAACAAAAAGAACACAAGACTAATTGAAGTAGGTTAGCAAGACAATAGGTGACAATGAAATGATCTCATAACAGCAGGGGATTATTTCAAATGGTTTTGTTGTGAGGGAGGCAGAGAGATGCAGTGAAAGTAGATATGGAGTTAAGAGAGATTTTTTTCCTTTTTCTTTTCTTTTTCTTTCTTTCTTTCTTATTTTTTTTTTCTTTGACACAGAGTTTTGCTCTGTTGCCCAGGCTAAATTGTGGTGGCATGATCTCAGCTCACTGCAACCTTTGCCTCCTGGGTTTAAGCAATTCTCATAACTCAGCCACCCCAGTAGCTGGGATTATAGGTGTGCACCGCCACACCCAGCTAATTTTTGTATTTTTAGTAGATACAGAGCTTTGCCGTGTTGGCCAGGCTGGTCTCGAACTCCTGGCCTCAGGTGATCCACCTACCTCAGCCTCTCAAAGTGCTGGGATTACAGGTGTGAGTCACTGTGCCTGGTCTCTTTTTTTTTTTTTCACCATCTTGTATTGTTACAGTAGCGATATATTTTTCAAGACAGCTTTTCCTCAAGTGTGAAGATGGAAAAATCCAGTAGAGACAAGAAGCTGGTGATGCAGGCGTTGCAGGCATATATCAAAATGCAGTTCAGAATGGCTTTGCCAAAATAACTCTATAGGAAGTTATCCATATTGAAAGGAACACTAATATAGCTCTGAAAATTATATTCCATCTACATTCCATTTCCTACAGAATTCTACTGGGACTGCATGCTCAGGTGGAATGTCAGGATGCACTAAGGCCATGTGGGATTTTAGGAGAGACACTGACATTTCCTTTAGTGCTCCATGGTGAGAAACTGGATCTGGAACATATCTGGTTTATTTGGATTTCATGGTATAAATCTAATGTCTGAATCTTAAAAAGTGGCTTCCTCAGTTGTCCTGATGGACATGTTCTTCCTTGCCATATGGAAATTGAAACATGTTTGTCATTTTGACAGGAGTACAAAATTTCAAGCTTTGAGCAGAGGCTGATGAATGAAATAGAGTTTCGCTTGGAACGTACTCCTGTTGATGAATCAGATGATGAAATTCAACACGATGAGATCCCCACGGGCAAGTGTATTGCTCCTATCTTTGACAAGAGACTCAAGCACTTCCGGGTCACAGAAGGCTCTCCAGTCACATTCACCTGCAAAATTGTTGGGATACCTGTTCCAAAGGTAGGGGAAGATGACAAGCCAGTTGGCCACCTAACAGCATGGAACTATAGACAGTGCCTTCAAGAAGGTCTTTAAAACATATACACAATGTTTTTTCTTCTTTTTTGTATTTGTTATTGATATAGTTGTACATGTTTTAGGGTATATGCGATATTTTATACTTGTGTGAAATGATCAAATCAGGATAACTGGGATATCCATCACTCAAACATTTATCTTTTTTGTGTATTAGGAACATTACAGTTTTTCTCTTCTAGCTACTTTGAAATATACAACAAGTTATTATTAACTATAATTTTTCCACTGTACTATCAAGTACTAGAACTTATTTCTTCTATCTAACTGTACGTTTTCACCCATTAACCAACCTCTCTTCATTCCCTTCTCCCATCTACCCCTCCCAGCCTGTGGTAACCACCATTTTACTCACTACCTCCATGAGATCATTTCCTTTAGCTCCCACATATAAGTCAGAACATGCAATACATGTCTTTCTGTGCCCAACTTACTTCACTTAACATAATGACTTCCAGTTCCATCCATTTTGCTGCAAATGATGGGATTTCATTCATTCTTTTTATAGCAGAATAATATTCCATTGTGTATAGATACCCCATTTTCTTTATGTATTCATCCACTGATGGACAAATATAGGTTGATTTTGTAACTCGGCTATTGTGAATAGTGCTGCAATAAATACAGGAGTGCAGATATCTCTTCAACATACTGATTTCCTTTCTTTTGGATATATATCCAGCAGTGGGATTGCTGGATCACATGGTAGTTCTATTTTTAGTTTTTTGGAGAAAACAGTCTCCATACTGTTTTCCATAACAGCTGCACTACTTTACATTTCCACCAACGGTGTATGAGGGTTCCCCTTTCTCCACATCCTCACCAGCACTTGTTATTTTTTTGTCTTTTTGGTAATAGCCATTCTAACTCTGGTGAGATGATATTTCTTGGGGTTTGATTTGCATTTTCCTGTTGATTAGTAATGTTGAACATTTTTTCATATACCTGTTGGCCATTTGTATGTGTTCTTTTGAGAAATGTCTATTTAGGTCTTTTGTGTGTGTGTGAGAGACAAAGTCTCACTCTGTCACCCAGGCTGGAGTGCAGTGGCACAGTCTCGGCTCACTGCAACCTCTGCCTCCCAGGTTCAAGCGATTCTCGTGCCTAAACCTCCTGAGTAGCTGAGATTACAGGCACCCGCCACTATGCCCAGCTGATTTTTGTATTTTTAGTAGAAATGGGGTTTCACCATGTTAGCCAAGCTGGTCTGAAACTCCTGACCTCAGGTGATCCACCCTGGAGACCCCAGCCTCCCAAAGTGCTGGGATTACAGGCGTGAGCCACCATGCCCAGCCTATTCAGGTCTGTTGCCCATTTTTAACAGTCTTGGTTTTTGTTTTTGTTTTTTGCTATTGAGTTGTTTGGGTTCTTTATATATTCTAGTTAGTAATCCCTTGTCAGATGAATACTTTGCAAATATTTTCTCCCATTCTGTAGGTTGTCTCTTCACTTTGTTAATTGTGTCCTTTGCTGTGCAGAAGCTTTTTACTTGCAGTAATCCCATTTATCTATTTTTGCCTTTGTTGCCTGTGCTTTTAAGGTCTTAACCCCCAAAAAATTTGCCTAGACCAATATCCTATAGTGTTTCCCCATTGTTTTCTTCTAGTAGTTTCATAGTTTCAGGCCTGGCATTTAAGTCTTTAATGTATTTAGAGTGGATTTTTTTATCTGGTGAAAGGTGAGGATCTAGTTTCATTCTTCTCCATATGGGTATTCAGTTTTCCTAGCACCATTTATTGAAGAGACTATCCTTTCTCTCAATATATGTTCTTGGTGCCCTTGTCAAAAATGAGTTGGCTATAAATACATGGATTTATTTCTGGGTTCTCTATTCTGTTCCATTGGTCTATGTGTCTATTTGTATGCCAGTACCATGGTGTTTTGGATACTATAGCTTTATAGTATAATTTGAAATCAGGTAGCATAATGCCTCCAGCTTTGTTCTTTTTGCTCAGGATTGCTTTGGCTATTTGTGGTCTTTCATGATTCCATATGAATTTTAGAATTGCTTTTTCTATTTTTTTTTTCCTTTTTTGAGACAGGGTCTTGCTCTATTGCCCAGGCTGGAGTGCAGTGGTGAGATCTCTGCTCACTGCAACCTCCACCTCCTAGGTTCAAGCGATTCTCCTGCCTCAGACTCCCGAGTAGCTGGGATGACAGCTGTGTGCCACTACGCCTGGCTAATTTTTGTACCTTTAATAAAGATGGGATTTCGCCATGTTGGCCGGGCTGGTCTTGAACTCCTGGCCTCAAGTGATTCACCCACCTCGGGCTTCCAAAATGCTAGGAATACAGTCGTGAGCCACCACTCCCAGCCTGTTTTTTCTATTTCTGCAAAGGATGCCATTGGTATTTTGATAGGGATTGCGTTGAATCTGAAGATCACGTTGAGCAGTGTAGACATTTTAACAATGTTAATTCTTCCAATTCGTGAACATGGGATATCTTTCCATTTGTGTGTGTGCCCTCTTCTATTTCTTTCAGTGTTTTATAGTTTTCCTTGTAGAGATCTTTCACTTCTTTGGTTAAATGTATTCCTAGGCATTTTATTTATTTATTTTTGTAGGCATTGTATTGCTTTCTTGATTTCTTTTTCAGATTGATTGCTGTTAGTGTATAGAAATGCTACTGATTTTTGTATGTTGATTTTGTATCATGCAACTTTACTAAATTTGTTTACCCTAAGAGGTTTTTGATAGAGCCTACATTTTTCTAAAACATAAGATCATGTCATCTGCAAGCAAGGATAATTTGACTTCTTCCTTTCCAGTTTGGGTACCCTTTATTTCTTTCTCTTGCCTAATTACTCTGGCCAGGACTTTTAGGCCTATGTTGGATAAAAGTGGTGAAAGTGGGCATCTTTGTCTTGTTCCTGATCTTAGTGTAAAGACTTTCCATTTTTCCCTGTTCCGTACGGTATTAGCTGTGGGTTTGTCATATATGACTTTCATTGTGTTGTGTTCCTTCTGCACTCAATTTGTTGAGGGTTTTTTATCATAAAGAGGTGCTGAATTTTATTGAGTGTTTTTTCATTGTCTATTGAGATGATCATATGGTTTTTGTCTTTGATTCTATTGATGTGATGTGTCGTGTTTATTGACTTGCCTATGTTGAATCATCCTTGCAGAGCTGAGATGAATCACACTTGATCATGATGAATAATCTTTTCAATGTGTTGTTGAATTCAGTTTGGTAGTATTTTGTTGAGGATTTTTGCACCTATGTTTATCAGGAATGTTTACCTGTCATCTTTTTGTTGTTGCTGTTGTTGTTATTGGGTCTTTGGTTTGAGTATCAGGATAATGCTGGTCTTGTAGAATGAGTTTGGAAGTATTACCTCCTCTTTAATTTTTTGAAATAGTTTGAGTAGAATTGATATTAGTTCTTCTTTAAATATTTGGTAGAATTCAACAGTGAATCCATTAGGCCCTGGGCTTCTCTTGGATGGGAGACTTTTTCATTACTGCTTCAGTCTCATCACTCATTATTGGTCTGGTCTGTTTAGGTTTTCTATTTCTTTGTAGTTTAGTCTTCGTAGGTTATATGTGTCCAGGAATTTGCCAATTTCTTCCAGGGTTTGCAATTTGCTGGCATATAGTTGTTCACAATAGTCTCTAGTGATCATTTGTATTTCTGTGGTATCAGTTGTATTGTCTCCTTTTTCATCTCTTATTTCATTTTTTGGGGTCTTCTCTCTTCTCTGATTCTTTCTTAGTCTAGCTAAATGTTTGTGAATTTTGTTTATCTTTTTAAAAAACCAACTTTTCATCTCTTGTATTTTTGGTCTTTTGTATTTTTTTAGTCTCAATTTCATTGATTTCTGCTCTGTATTTATTATTTCTTTCCTTCTACTAATTTTGGATTTGGTTTGTTCTTTGTTCCTTGAGATGCCTCTTTAGCTAATTTATTTGGAGTCTTTCTGGGTTTTTTTATGTAGGAATTTATTGCTATAAACTTCCCTTTCAGTAAGAAAGTCTTATCAGACTCTAGTGAAGTATCTACAAAGAGAATGAAAACCCATACCAGAAAATTAGCAAAGCCCAGATAATTTCACTTAAAAAAAAACCATCAAGAATGAGATCATTAAATAGTCAGGCTAAAAAGAAATCAGACTTATGGGTAAGTTCAAATTTTAATAAAAGTTTAAAATAAGTGTCCTAGTCATGATACTATATTTTGGGCTATTGATTTTCATAGCCATCAAGCTCACCAAACTGATATTTTTCTGTCTACTTAATATCTATTTAATATCCACAGGGTACCTGTTCTTGTACAAAGTGAGCTATATTTGTAGCATTACTATTAGGTTGGTAAATGCTAAGAATGTCACATCGTTATCACTGGATGCTGAAAAATCACATAAATCAGCAGATTTTTTGGCAGTCAGCTGAGAGAAGGATTTACACCCAACATGGTTTGTGGCAAAGAATCTCTCTGCTCTTCTTTCATAAACATTAGCATAGTATTATCATGTATGGTTAGGTAACCAGGAAAAGTAGAGGAGGACAGCTGCAACCAGTATTTATCTCCTCTGTCTTTGAGAGATCTCCTTCACACATGCAAAACTTAACATGAGATATATAGATAGATGTGTATGTGCATGCACACACACACACGTATACACACACACACACACACACACATAGATATTTACATTTTGGCTGGATGAGAAATTTAGCAAGTTAATCCTAGCCTCATTCCATTTAGTGCAACAAACCATACTAACCTTTCAAGCAAGGCGACTTATTCTAAGTGCTGAGATCTGCAACTGCAGGAGACTTGAACTTGTAAATAAGGTAATGAGAAAATATCCTGTCTCCTGGTTTTCATTATTTTGCTTCTGAAGACATGTCCATTCCTTAGGGTAGTTTTTAAAACTAAATATGAAGCACAAGAAAAATCGTCAAAAACTTCATCTTAGTCCTAAATTATATTGAATTCTTGACTTAAATAATAACATTTAATGTTAAATAGTATTATGTAGGTACAAGTCGAGGGGCAGATTATACAGTCATTTTTAATATGTTTTATAAGTTTTTTTTCCAAGTGCTACATAAAGTATGGGTCACTTAAAAGATGGCAGTTGTCCCTTGCCTCACCCCAGACCCTAGTTTATTAACCTCTAAAGATAAACAAAACAGCGTACATCTTGATAATTTTTCATTTCAGGTTTACTGGTTCAAAGATGGTAAGCAGATTTCTAAGAGAAATGAGCACTGCAAAATGAGGCGAGAAGGAGATGGGACATGTTCTCTGCACATTGAATCCACCACCAGTGATGACGATGGCAACTACACCATCATGGCAGCCAACCCCCAGGTGGAGACGCAGGGTTCTGCGCTGTGCGGCACTCTGAGGAAGGAGCAGTTGATGTCATTGTGAATGAGACCTTGAGAAGTGCGAGTTACTAAGGATTGCTGAGGAAAATGAATGAGAAGCATTGTGATTGTGTGTAACTAGGGCACAGCATCACAACTTAAAAGACTAGTTAGCCACTAACAGGTCACTCAATGCTTCAGCCTTTGTCAAGGGACACTAGTACTATTTTTTCACTGTGTATACCTTGCAGACTTATTGAACTCAGTCTTGTGTTTCTCAACACATTGATTCTCTTGAAGAGTCAATAAATCAATTGACCAATCATTCTATCAGGAATGATCTGTCGTTTTTGTTCTTTAGCGAATAGGCAAATTACTTTGCAAAGGTTTGTGAATGTCCCTCAAACTCATAATGTCCACATTTTTGGATTGTTTTGTTTTTTAAACTTGGAAAGCCATAATCATCCACTTTCCTTTTCTGAATGAAGGCAAATATTAAAACTCCCCTAAAAGATGTGGCAGAATAAACATCTTCAATTACTATTTGAGTAGGAAGTACAGAACTATAACATCCATTCCTACTGAAATGTTAGTTTTAAAGAGTCTCTGTTGAGGAACGTATGAAAATATTTGGCCATGCTTTTAAATTATGACTGCAAATAACGTTAAGTACATAAGAATTCAAATTTCTTTTTACCTTTGTGCTGTTTATATCTCAATTTAAAATGAAAGTCATTACCATACTCTTAAAAATCTCTCCCCCGGAATATTAACAGTGATTTAAGAAATCATATTTTATTGATTTTATTGCTTTTATTCCTCTCCCCTAAAGAAAAACTCATAATAGTCAAAATTTCACAGTGTTCTGGTCCAGAAAATTTTATGTACATTGAAAAAGTGTGAGATTCTTCTTATTTTAATCTTGTTCATTTTCTGTTTGTCAGGGGAGGATCAGCTGTTCTGGCCACTTGATGGTACAAAGCTTGCCCATTCGCAGTCGACTAACCTCTGCTGGTCAGTCTCACAGGTAAAAACAATAAGAATTCCCCTTCTCTAGGTCCTTCCCAAGCACCTCCCCACTATCATGAGCACCAAACTACTGGATCCATGAATTCTTAATTAAAGGTAGTCCTTCACTTTCAGCGTCAGCATCACCTGGGAGTTGGCTGGAAATGCAGAATCCCAGGCCCCACTCCGGATCTACTGACTCAGAATCTGCATTTTAACAGAATTCCCAGGTGATTCACAAGCATAGTAAAGTTTAACAAGCACTAGTCTCTGGGGTTTTTTTTTTAAGTTTGATTTTTATTTTTTAGAGACAAAGTCTCACTTTGTTGCCCAGGCTGGAGTGCAGTCGTGTGATCATAGCTCACTGCAACCTCAAACTCATGGGCTCAAGCCATCTTCCCATCTCAGCCTCCCAAGTAGCTGAGACTACAGACGCATGCGACCATGCCGGCTAAATTTTTCTATGTGTGTGTAGAGACAGGTGTCTCGCTATGTTGCCTAGGTTTGTCTCACACTCCTGGCCTCAAGCAATCCTCCTGCCTTGGCCTCCCAAAGTGCTGGGATTACAGGCATGAGCCACCACTCCCAACCTGGCATGCTTTTAATGGTTCAAAATTTGTAACCATCAGTAGCACCTGCACACATAATATGTAAATCAGACCCATTGAAGTAAGTTACCATCTTTTGTTTAATAAAACAGAAACCTTTCATGATTGAATGTATATTGATGGAATGTTTTTGTTGTTGTCTCCAATGTAACAACTGGTTTTCTTCCTCTCTGATTTTACTAACCACTAAGAAGAAAGAGCCTGGCTCTCCACTTGAATCTTACGGTGCCACAAAGTCTTAGCAAGGCATTCCATAGCTGCTGACACAGAAGAATTAAATGTGACTTACCAAAGGAACAAAAATAGTGACCCATGTTTCAGATACAGTATTTCACCAGCATTGCAACTATACCTTCTTCTTCTTCTTTTTTTTCTTTTTTTTTTTTTTGAGATGGGGTCTCACTCTGTCATCCAGGCCGGAATGCAGTGGTGCAATCTCAGTTCACTGCAACCTCCACCTCCCGGGCTCAAGTTATCCTCCCACCTCAGCCTTCCAAGTAATTGGGACCACAGATGTGTGCCACCATGCCCAGCTAATTTTTGTATTTTTTGTAGAGATGGGGTTTCACCATGTTGCCCAGGCTGGTCTCAAACTCCTCAAGCAATCAACCTGCTTCAGCCTCTCAAAGTGCTAGGATTACAGGCTTGAGCCACCAAACCTGGCCCCCTCTCCCTTTGCCTCCTCCTCCTCCTCCTTTTCCTCCTCCTCCTTTCTTTTTTAAGAACAGCTGTTACTGTTGTTCAGTCTTATCCAGTTTAAGTTCATACTCATCTTTAATGGTCTGCCATGATTTATAGCCAGGTTAAATTTTATTACTCAAAGACACAGGGATTGCCGCTGCCTTGCTCTGGGTAATAAACAGGACTTCTCTTTTGGCTCTTGTTTGAAGTTCGGATTGAATACTGATCTATTTGTTTATTTTGATGACTTTTGAACAACTGGTTGAACTCATAGCAAGGTGAGCTGAGCCCACTTAACCCAGAATGACAGAAAGAAGCTAAGCCTGTTTATTTGATTGCAGATCTCACAAGACAGTCCCACAGTGTGTGAGATACTTACCAGTTTGTGTTTTACATCAGCTCCACACCATTATTTGTTGTTTATGCTCCAGCCTCCCCTTTCTCCCTTCAAAAAAAAAAAAAAATCTGTTCTCTAGGTCCTGTAGCCATGCCTAAATGCCTATCATCATAAATTTGTAAATTTATTTCTATATTTAATATCTGAACACGCTTGTTCTTATAGGGGAAGATCCCGAGTGCAAGAAAGAGACAAAGAGCCCCTACAGGAACGCTTTTTCCGACCACATTTCCTGCAGGCTCCTGGGGATATGGTAGCTCACGAGGGGCGCCTCTGTCGGCTGGACTGTAAGGTAGACTCCGGCACCCATCCTTGGTTCCAGATCTGTTCGTGTTTTGTATTTGTTTGCATTCATTTTTGTTTGTATTTGTTTTGTGGGTTTCTTTTTTCAGGAAAGATGAAATGGGGAAGGGACAGAGATCACTTTTTTTTATCATAAAGCTTGTTTGGAGTATTTAATGTCAGACGAAATTATTTTATGAAATTTTTGAATCTTTAGATATTAATAAAAATTACATTGGTGTTATATCAAGTTAATTGCATTTTTAGAAGACAACCAAAGAGGTGATACACAGTAGTTGTCCCTTATCTGAGGGGCACGCGTTTCAAGCCCCGCAGTGAATGCCTGAAACTTTAGGTAGTATTGAGCCCTATATAGAGTATTTTTTAAATTTGATAACCAAGACAGCTACTATCTAAGGGGCAGGTAGCATAGACAGTGTGAACACGGTGGACAAACGGGTGATTCATACCCTGGATAGGATGGAGTAAGACAGCATGAGATTTCATCATGCCACTCAGAACGAAACACAACTGAAAACTTAGAAACTTTATTTCTGAAATTTTTCATTTAATATTGTCAGACTGTGGTTGACCTCAGGTAACTGAAACTTTAGATAAAAGGAGGACTACTATAATTCAGACATTTGCATCTAAGCCTTTTAAGAATTCTAGAATGCCATGGAAGGTTTAGATACAAGTCTTTTCATTTGGTGTCTGGAAAGTAATAAAAACTATAGAGCATATGGTGTGATTTTCACATCCTTGAAGTGAATTGTTGGACTTGTGGCCTTTGAAAATGTACAAACGTGAAAATATGGCCCCAAGGTAGTGTATGAGAACAAAAGCTGGTTTCTCATACTAATCAACCTCCTTTACCTTTAGCTATTCTACATTCTCATTTTTTGACCAGGCTTTAGTTGAGCAGCGTGGATATCTCTCAGTATGAAGAGAAGCTTGCATCACCCTTTCTGCCCCATAGGTGCAGAATGCTATGGAAGACTTAGATGCAAATTAGTCAAAGCTTGAGGTTAAGTATCTGTAAAGGGTCCACTTCTATCTATGCTATCTATGGTTCTTCTTCTCTTTGTGGCTGCCTAAATAATATTCAGATTGATTGTTACATCCCCCCTCTAAACTCTGAAAGATTCCCATGCCTGGGTCCCATCCCCAGAGATTCTGATTTATGGTAAATGGGCACCAGGATTTTTAAACACCTCCCACATGATTGTAATATACAGCAAGGTTCAAGAACTCTGGTTTACTATCTGGCTTTTCATTATCCTCAGCAAACTAACACAGGAACAGCAAACCAAACACCACATGTTCTCACTCATAAGTGGGAGTTGGACACTGAGAACACATGGACACAGGGAGGAGGCATACCGTGCCCTGTTGGGGGGGCAGGAGGGGTGAGGGGAGGGAACTTAGAGGACAGTTCAATAGGTGCAGCAAACCACCGTGGCACATGCATACCTATGTAACAAACCTGCACGTTCTGCACATGTATCCTGTGTTTTTGTTTTTGTTTTTTGGTTTTAGAAAAAAAAATCTGGCTTTTCTCTTGGCTATTAGGTATGTAAACAGTATATCGTCTCTGAAATTGATGCTGCAGGCCTACTGTATCTATCTATTTCACTTTTTAATTCTTATTTATTCTAATCTAGAGTATAATCACATAGGTTAACCATGACCTCAACTGTGATCAAAGTACCATACAGTTCAAATTCATGCAGCCGTTTATTCAGACCCTTCTTTTCTCTCGATGCCCCTACAGAGAGCTTTCTCATCACTCCATGTTTTCTCTCCCTGTCTGTTTGGTGCCAAGCAAGGATAAAGAATTCAGCCATCAAATAACTGTGCCTGTCGTCAGTCATTTGCCTCAGCTGTCCTGTTGTTTATTAGGTGAGTGGTTTACCGCCCCCGGAGCTGACGTGGCTACTCAATGGCCAACCTGTGCTACCAGATGCCTCCCACAAGATGCTGGTCAGGGAGACCGGAGTCCACTCTCTGCTCATTGACCCGCTCACTCAGCGCGACGCGGGGACCTATACGTGCATCGCTACCAACAAAACCGGGCAGAATTCTTTTAGCCTGGAGCTCTCTGTAGTAGGTAAGGTTTGCTGCTGGGACCCCTAAACAAAACTTCCTCCAAA